TATTTTCAGGGTTTTAAAACTATTATTTATTTTATCTGAAAGCTGTTGTAGCCCCATAGAGATTTCATCAAGACCTGACCAGTAGTTTTTGAGTTATCTTTTATAATGCGTATTTAATTAACGACTACATTGATCATGTTCTCATTTTATTTATATTGAAGTCGGATGTATAAAAGTATTTTAATTTTACGACTTGCTTTTATATTTTCACTCTTAAAAGTCCGAAGTGAATTCGGATTGAAACACAACATACTACAAATAGATTTGACTGCTTCTTTTGTCTAGTGGTCGTAAGCACGATTGTTGATCATGCGGTTCCACGTTCGAGTAACCTGATGATGACATGACAGATGGCTATTCTCCGTTGAGACTGACCTCCGTGACTAGTCCTGCCAACCGTACCACCGTCCCGCGAGAGCCGGCGAAGAGGTGTGACGTTATTGCGAGGCACCGTTCTCCCTACCCTCTGCGGCCAAAAATTGGTTGGCGGCGGAGCTAAAGACCAGATCCGCCACTGGGGTTAGGAAGGCTGGTGCTTCCGATTTTTCGAATTTCCTGGCCCAAACGCTTGCAGGTACCGGGCTCAGGGGTGCCTGCTGCGAAGTTCGGAAGCTTGGAAAGAAGGCGTGCCTAGAATTCTGGTGCGCCTTACCTAAATAGGAGTAGGGGGAGGAGTTTCCTGTCCCGAGGAGGGGCTGCCATGGGCAATATTGGTACAGATTGAAAACTAAATCACACCATTGAAGTTATAAAATCATCTATATTTATAAGATAAGATATTATAAATAATAAGGTGGTGCGAAGCTACCACAGCAGTGAAGTACCACAGGAGTAGTATGCAGCAATAATTGAAAAATACCTCAAACAGATAATACCGCCATCTATCGGAAACCATAAAATTTGGCTTTTGGCTTATCCCATTGGCACCTCTTACCTACCTATATACTACGGGACGTAAATGAGTGATGTATATTTTCATACTGCGTATAATAGCTTTTTAATAATCATAAATCATATACACATCAAATCGTCATGAATGTAGGTTTTATAACAAAAGTACAAAAATACAGATTAACTTGATGAAGGTGATGTAGAAAAAAAGGATTCAGATGTTAGATTTACAATTATACGCTATTTTCACTTCACGTATATCCCATCGATTGATCGACGGACGCCGATAAAACAGCCGAGCAGCATTTTCCCCAATTGTAAATCCGTCATACCCTACACTTGTCGCCTATCTTACCAGCACGAGAATTCAATTCAAAAACTTCTTCGAGAATTCCCTCATCGGTGTTCAGTTCTTAGAGTATAACCGTGTAACTGGGGTGAAACTGAGGGGTCTGGGGTGTTATTAAGCCGGTACTTTGCCAATTTGGCTTAATTATCTGTTGGGATATGTCAAATTCTCTGATTCTACTGCAAATATTATCTTTACGATATTTTGAATAGCTATTCAATGCACTATAATATTTTTTGTAGTTTTAAACTTCGGCGTGAAGTGGTGGCGGAGAATCCACTAATCCGTATCTTCCCGTCAGTGTCTAAAGGTGCAAAAGGGCAAAATAAAACGGATAATAGGGAGAAGAATGTTCCTGATAGCAAATTTAATAAAAATACTGCAGTTTCCAACACGCCTGTCAAACGTGACAACTATGGCAAATTTTATTATTTTATTAGGCAATTTATGGGGGAGTCCTATGTTCAGCAGTGGACTTTTGGTAGATTTATGATAGACTTTTGATAGGCACCGTGGCGGCTATGGAAAATTTCACCCTCTGAGGCAATCTATGGGGGAGTCCTATGTTCAGCAGTGAACTTTTGGCAGACTTATGATAGACTTTTGGTAGGCACCGTGGCGGCTATGGAAAATTTCACCCTCTGAGGCAATCTATGGGGGAGTCCTATGTTCAGCAGTGGACTTTTGGTAGACTTATGATAGACTTTTGGTAGATTTATGATAGAATTTCGGTACGCACCGTGGCGGCTATGGAAAATTTCCCCCTCTGAGGCAATCTATGAGGGAGTCCTATGTTCAGCAGTTGACTTTTGGTAGACTTATGATAGACTTTTGGTAGACTTAAGATAGACTTTTGGTACGCACCGTGGCGTCTATGGAAAATTTCCCCATCTGAGGCAATCTATGGGGGAGTCCTATGTTCAGCAGTGGACTTTTGGTAGACTTTCTACGTGGTAGAGCCATGCTGCAGCTATATTATGGTTGTAGCACGAATGGGTCGGTTCGACCGGGGAAGGACCACGCTCTCACAGAAAACCAGCGTAAAATAGCAGCTTAACGCTGCTGTGTTTCGTATGGTGAGTGTAGAGAACCGGAGACCCTTTTTACTGGCAAAAAGGCATTCAATCTTAGTCCTCACGGGTGACAACGCATCTGCATCTTGAGTCTTCATTGAGGATAGATGTAGATGTCTATGGGTTACAGTAACCACTTACCATTAGGTCGACTGTGTGCTTGTTTGTCACCCGATCCTATATAAAAAAAAGACTTATGATAGAATTTTGGTAGACTTATGATAGACTTTTGGTAGACTTATGATAGACTTTTGGTAGACTTATGATAGACTTTTGGTAGACTTATGATAGACTTTTGGTACACACCGTGGCGGCTATGGAAAATACCCCCCCCCCCCCTATGAGGCAATCTATGGGGGAGTCCTATGTTGAGCAGAGAAATTTTGATGGGCTGTAATGAATGATAAAATGCGTATGAATGTGGTTACAACCGTACAAAGACGTCTTTTACACTCTCGTATTCACTCTTCTATTACTATTAGGGATACTTGGCCATTAAATATTGATTAAGTGCAACTGCTACATGTATGAGGCCATGTTCAGCAGTGGACTTGTGACGGACAGTAATGATGATGATGATAATGTGCTAAATGCACAATTAATATTTGCTGACAAGACCATAGTACTATTAACTTATGACTTTCATGAATTTTATTTAAACACGTTTAAGTAAAGTTAGGAACTGAGCGCTCGCCTTTAAATTTTCTTAGTAAGTGAACAAACCGAGTTCGATTGCCAGTAGTGATCAAGTTTTAGGGGCTGATTTAATAATAAATCCTCATCAGTAAACGAAAACATCCTGAGTAAACTTGCATGTTGTTTTAAAAATATTTCGAATACATATGAAGACCACCAACGAACATTGAGGAAGCGGTGTAAACTCTTTTCTGGTCTCTATTGGTCATTAGCAGCTATTATAAAAATAATTCATTAAGCTAGCAATTATATTTTCGGACATGTTAAGATTTTTGTCTGTTTTCATTAAATGGGATTTGGAGGAATAATATGATAACATTAATTGTTAGAATTTTATTTAGATACCGAACTGTTACTTAAAAAAAGGAAATGTTTTGTTTTAAAGACGAGTAGAAAAGTATGCATGGAACTTTGAAAAGTTACCTCAAAATTCTATGAATGCATTTCGGAATTTCGAACAGACACAAACATGATAACATGTATTTTACGGACAAACACAAAGCACGGCCAATCAGAGAATAGTTTTATCTACCGACTTCAAAAAGGAGACGGTACTCAATTCGACTGTATGTTTTTTTTTTATGTGTGTTACCTCATAACTTTTTACTGGGTGTATCGATTTCGATGATTCTGTTTTCATTTGCAAGCTGGTGCATCACATGTGATCTCATATAAATTTGATTAACGTCTGACCAGGAGTTTTTGCATACATGTATAGCGTTGCGTGGTAAATTAATAGCGTCAATAATACAATTTAAATTGTGTTATACTATATTATTGCTTTATTATTACTATATTATTTTATAATAAATTAGAATCAAAAGAGCGAAAAGCAGTTCTGATAATTTTCCTTATTTCTTCTTTTATGACGGCTCCGTGGCGCAGTGGCTTAGCATTGAGTTGTTGCCCTGGGGGGCGCGGGTTTGAATCCCGCACGGAACAAGTATTTGTATGGCCTACAAATAATTGTTCCAGGTCTGGATGTTTGTCCTCGTGCAATTTATGATTGTAAACTGCCTCCACGACACAGGAGAAAATCCTAGTGTGGGGGATACGTTTTCTAAAACAAAACAAAAAAAAACAATATTCTTTCCGTTTCCAAAAAAGTTGAGACATGCCATTATATTTTAAAAACATATTTAAAGAGTTCAGCCCTCCCGTCCCAACATTATAATATTTTCATAATCAAAATGGCTTAGTATCACTTTGCTACATTACTAGTTTTATGTTATAATTGTTATAATTGTAGCATTAAATTCTTACGAGAAAATAATGTAGTAAGACAAAATAAAATAATCACGTAGCATTTATTTTCTTCTTAAATCAATATCTATACAAATAAATAATATTGAAGTGTCTGTTTGTAATGTGAAAATTACAGTTTTTTACTAAATCAAAGTAAATACGGTAGTTATAACTAGAATACAATTTTTAAAATTTTAGTCTTTCTGTCTATTTTCCCCGGCTAATCTCCGAAACGGCTGGACCGATTTTGATGGGACTTTCACTGGCAGATAGCTGATTTCATAAAAAGAAATTATAGCTACTTTTATTTTAGAAAAATAATTAGGGTTCCGCGTAAAAACATAAAAACCCTAACACGCGAGCGAAGGGAACAGCTAGTAATGCATATTTCTATCACATTCAGTAGCAACAGGTTTTATATTATGATTGGAATCGTGTGAATTTGCTGGTTTTTAAACTCAGTTTGCTAGCTATTAAAATTACTTACCTTTTAGTAATAATCGAAAACTATCACGTCTTATTTAAGAATAGCTAAACGTCAGCTATTCTTAAAAATGACTACGCCTTTCCAAGACATTGACATTAACGTGTGGTAGTCCTTGCGCTATATTGGCTTGTTATATTGGGCTACCGGGCCGTGTATGTCAACAATCGCTTTGTATCGCCTCAGGGTTTTGGGCACAGTATTTAATCGCTGTAATAATTGACTTAACATTATTATCTCTTGGGATTTCGATACAAGCGCAATGGCATTCAGAGTTAGTAATATTTTTTAAATAATATAATACGAATAATATATACCTAGACTAGATGATACTAATAATAATAATATTCACCGGGCAGAATTTCGGTCACGGTGGCCAGTCTCAACGTTACTAGCCGTCTGAGCAGGACAGGATTATAGTGCTCGGCAATCTTACTCGGCCGAAGAGAGATTAGGGTCAGAACCAACTCTGCACAAGCTTTCCGAGGCGCGGAGGTGAAATGTTGCCAACTTTCTGACTCAAGGCTGCTACTGATAATATTGACAAAAATCAATAATTTATTTTATTGGCCCGACCTGGGATATGAACCCGGGACCTCATGATTGTTATTGTTTACGACCATTAGATTAACGAGGCATTCAATAAGTTGCATACCTAGATAATACATATATTAATTACAAAATAAAATAACCGTACTTATTTTTTACAGTTCGTTGTTCTAACTTGCTTGGTGGCGGCCGCCAGCGCTGGTTTCATCCCGGCAGCTCCTCTCACGTACGCCGCGCCCGCATACCACGGCGCGCCCGTGGCCTACGCCGCTGCTCCCGTCGCCAAGCTGACCTACTCCGCCCCCGTCGCAAAGCTCGCTTACTCTGCACCAGTCGCCAAGGTCGCCGTTGAGGAATACGACGCACACCCTCAGTACAGCTTCTCATACGACGTTCAGGATGGTCTGACCGGAGACTCCAAGTCACAACACGAAAGCCGTGACGGCGATGTTGTTCAGGGCTCATACTCGGTCGTCGAACCCGACGGCACCAAGCGTACGGTCGACTACACCGCTGACCCGCACAACGGATTCAACGCTGTCGTTCACAAGGAGCCTGCCGCTGTGAAGGTCGCAGCTGTTGCCAAGGTTGCTGCTCCGGTCACCTACCACGCCGCCCCCGTCGCCTACCATGCAGCTCCCGTCGTCCACGCCGCTCCCGTAGCTTACTCCGCCCCCATCTACCATCATTGAAGTAAATAGTCGCTTGTAAATAGGACACGTATTTATTGATTTATGTAATAAAGCTTATTTCTACAAGTATGTGATCTTTTGATTGTACGATTCTAATGGACATATTAAATTTAAGTTATTATCAAATTCAAAAGGTATTAGACCAAAATGGTCTATATTAACAATAAGTATAATAAAAAATGAAATTCATAGAAGGTGGCCGAGTTTTTATTTAATAACCGACTTCAATTCTTCAAGACTTCAATTTATTGTGTGTTACCGCAGAACTTTTTGCTAGGTCAAACGATTTTGATGATTCTTTTTAATACGCATTTAGGTAGTATCATGGTATGTGTTTATGTGTTTATATGTAACGGAATTTTTAAATGTGATTTTTATCCCCTTCAAAAACATCGGATTGTTTTTGAAACTTCGGACAGTCATCAAGGACCGATGACAATGCAATAATTTAAATAGTTTGTCTCATGATCCTTGCCCGGACCCTCAGGATTAGCGAATAATTCATAAAACAACTACTGATTTCTGCCAGTTCAATTTACTGTAAGCCGCGTAAAAGAACTTCGTTCCAAAAAACACACGCTTTTGTATTTGCCGCACTAAAATGTAGAAAATAATTTTCAATAAATTTAAAATAACAAAATAGTGATTAAACATTCAACCATTGGGTTAAATGGTGTGAGAATTAACATAAAAATTAATTTTATTTAAAAAAAAGCGTGGGGTGCTTGATGTCATTTGTTGTAAATATTTTTGTGGATATTTGTAAAACTATGACGCAAGTTACATACACCTATGATATGACGATCGCTGACTATGCACCTAGAACAGTTGCTATGTAAACCGACAGGAATGCAGGCGCAGCAATTCAAGCCACGTGCCGGATGTATAAAATATCACGTACTCAGTTACACGAGGTTCATTCTGTTAGATTAATTAGCTATAGTAACATAATTTGTAATTTTTATTTTAAATATATTTTATAAGTAAATTTGGTTTTTTTTCGAACCTCCGGCCGCAGCTAACGTAATTGGCGCAGTCGGTAGGATACTCAGGGGTAGTTTTGCGATAGTTAGGGAATATCTTTTCATAACCGTGAAGCACCCGGCGGCTATCAAGTCCCTTCGAAGAGTATCCGGATCTACGGACCAGCTGCAGACCAGGAGGAGAATCCAGCCTTCGATTCATCGAGAGAAACCAGATGAAATCCACGTGAGTACACTTGAATTGATCTCGTGTTGCTCTCCCTTATCCCTAAGTTTAAATCTTTCCCTTCAAGATTTATCATCCTAGAGTAACTCGTTCTCGGGAGCCTGAATATCGACAGGCTCGCCGTCATATAGTAGATAATAGTAGGCAAACCGATTTAGATTTAGAATTAGAATTAAATAATACTTATTTAACAGAGATGGCCCATGACCCGGACACAATTTTTAAGGCTTTACGCCTCGTCCCGGAGTTTGATGGGAACCCTAACGTTTTAACTAGATTTATAAAAATATGTGACAGACTAGCTTCGCAGTATCTAAGCAATGCGCCCGATAGTGAATTTTCTAATTTATGTCTTCTGAACGGTATTCTTAACAAAATAACAGGAACCGCTGCCTGCACTATAAACTCTAATGGCATTCCTGAAAACTGGTTAGGTATTAGGACAGCACTAATAAATAATTTTTCCGACCAGCGGGACGAAACGGCTTTATATAATGACCTCTCCTTAGCTTCGCAAGGCAACAGAACTCCACAAGAATTTTACGACCATTGCCAAACTTTGTTTAGTACGATAATGACTTACGTGTCTTTACATGAGACCATACCGACCACCATCGATGCCAAACGGGACCTTTATAGGAAAGTCGCAATGCAAGCATATGTCCGCGGCTTAAAGGAACCTTTAGGATCTCGTATACGTTGCATGCGACCATCGACAATAGAGAGAGCTTTAGAATATGTACAGGAGGAATTAAACATTATGTATCTCCAACAGCGCAATGACTCCATAAAAAGTCAACATTCCCCCAAGTTCATTCCACCATCCACACCACCTTCCATTCCTCAACATCAACCTTTCCAAACTCCAGTACCTAATTGGCCAGTTCCTGTTGGGCAAAGACCTTACAGACCCCCACCTCAGCCGTTCAAATTTCCTCAACCCGTACCACACCAACAGCGCATGCCAACTAATACCCAGCGCATGTTTGGTGCACCCCCTCCCAACTACAACCAGCGTAGTAACGTGTTCCGATTACCACCCCGAAATAACCCTCAACAACCTCAGCCCATGAGTGGAGTCCAGCGTTTTATTCCCAAGGCTTTACCACACACAAAAATGTTGACAGGACATGACTGGAATAAATTTGGCAATCCGCCACCAACAAATTATTTTAAATCCCGCGAAATGAATACAAACGAATGCGCTGCGTATAGCGATTCATATTACGAGTATAACCCTGAATACGAGTACGCATACTACACCGACTTTAACAATGCTTATGCCCCGGATTTCGCTTCTGATTTTTCTTATTATGACTCGGCTGACGAAAAACAAGACAATAATTATTATATTCAAAATCAATCACAAGTAGAGTCTAAGCACTCCGATCAGGATTTTCAGGACGATTCGACTATAAAAAAAACAAAAATAGAAATAAATCAGACTCAAAGACAATTACCATATATACAGATAGCAAACCACCCATTAAAATTTCTAATAGATACTGGCGCGAATCAGTCTTTTATTAGCCCTGAAGCAGTAGGAAAATTTTTCAGCGATTTCCCACTTAATTTTGACCCGTTCGAAGTAACAAACATACACGCGACAAGTCGTAATAATTATTCTATAACGTTACCTTGTTTTTCTGAATTTAATGATTCCGATAAAGTGAAATTCTTTGTATATCGCTTTCATGACTATTTTGACGGCCTTATAGGTTCGGACTTATTAAGTAAATGGGAGGCCCGTATAGATTTAAAGGAAGGACAATTAATAACGCATTCAGCATGTAATCCCATAAAATTATATAACTCGCGTAATGTTAATTTATACGAAGATATAATACCTGCCAGCTCTTCGAAAATTATTAGAGTTCCATTGGATACAAAGGATGGCGAAGCCTATATTACGGAACAGGTTCTATGTAATTGTATTATTCACGAATGTGTTACCACTGTCGTCAATAATCGCGGTTATATTGAGGTAGAGAACCCAACGCCAAACGATATAATATTTTCACTCGACCGACCAGCACACGCGGAATTATTTAATATTGAGTGCACGCGTACCGAACAATTATCAGCACGCGCAAAAGACGTAGTTTCGCGATTACGTACAGACCACCTAAACGAGGAGGAAAAGGCTAATTTAGTAGCACTTTGCTCTCGTTACTCGGACGTTTTTTACATAGAAGGTGAAAGCCTCACTTTCACAAATAGAATAAAACATCGGATTCGAACCACGGACGAAGTACCAATACACACTAAAAGCTATCGTTATCCATTCATACATAGACAAGAAGTTAAGGACCAAATAAGCAAAATGTTAGATCAGGGTATTATAAGACCTTCCGAATCTGCATGGAGCTCACCCATCTGGGTTGTGCCAAAGAAAGTAGATGCTTCTGGCAAACAGACGTGGCGTCTTGTAGTTGACTTTCGCAAATTAAACGAAAAGACACTTGACGATAAATACCCTATCCCGAACATTAATGATGTTCTTGACAAATTAGGGAAGTTCCAATATTTTACCACCTTAGACTTAGAAAGCGGATTTTATCAGGTCGGAATGGACCCTCAGGACATAGCGAAAACAGCTTTTAATGTAGAGCATGGCCATTTCGAATTTCTTCGCATGCCAATGGGCCTGAAGAACAGTCCATCTACGTTCCAAAGAGTTATGGACAATGTCTTAAGGGGGCTACAAAACCATATATGCCTTGTATACCTAGATGACATAATTGTGTTCAGCACTTCGCTCCAAGAACATATGGTTAACCTAGACAAAGTATTTAGTAGACTTCGCGAGTCCAACTTTAAAATTCAAATGGACAAATCGGAGTTTCTCAAACATGAAACGGCTTATCTCGGTCATATTATCACCAGGGACGGTATTAAACCAAACTCCGATAAAATTTCGGCTGTACAAAAATACCCTATTCCAAAGAATCCAAAAGAAATTAAACAATTTTTAGGCCTTCTCGGTTATTACAGAAAGTTCATTCCGGATTTCGCCCGTATTACTAAACCATTAACTCAGTGTCTTAAGAAAGGCAAAAAGGTAACAATAGACAATAATTACGTTAACGCTTTCGAAAAATGTAAGTCTCTTTTGACAAACGATCCCATCTTGCAATATCCAGACTTTACTAAAGAGTTTAACCTAACGACAGATGCTTCTAACTTTGCCATTGGTGCCGTACTGTCACAAGGTCCAATAGGATCCGACAAACCAGTCTGTTACGCTTCTCGTACGTTAAACGAAAGCGAAGTTAATTACAGTACAATCGAAAAAGAACTTCTCGCCATAGTCTGGGCTACGAAATACTTTAGACCATATTTGTTTGGGCGTAAATTTAAAATTTTGACAGACCACAAACCATTGCAGTGGATGATGAATTTGAAAGAACCAAATTCTCGTCTCACAAGACGGCGACTTAGACTTAGCGAGTATGACTTTACAGTAATTTATAAGAAAGGCAAAACTAACACCAATGCCGATGCTCTCTCACGTATAGAGATTCACAATGAAGACGTAATGATGTTAATGAACGAAATTGACGAACTAAACTCGTTAATAGGCAACCCAAGCGAAGGTATTGCAAACTCTTCGACTGAGACCGTACACACCAGTAACGAACACCCTATACTTGAAATTCCTATAACTGACGAACCACTCAATAAGTTTAATAGACAAATTCACTTGACTGTCGTTAGCGACGTTAAACGGAAAACCATCGTGACTAAACCCTTCGATACCCATACACGTGTTAGCATCCAACTATCGGAAA